GTTATGAATTGGTATCTTAAATTCAACAAATCAGTATTTTATGGTCTCCAGCAAGAAGAACCACAATGACGACATGCTCTATCGGACACACTGTGCCTGAACTCTGATAAGAATGATACCGTCTCACAAAACATGCAGTCTAGTTCTATTATCATTTCATCTCTGATTGGTGGGATTAATTTAGGTGCTTTCTTCTCTGGGGAACATTACAGAATCCGCCTGCAGTTAGCAACAGATCATTGATTAGAGAAAACTTTTTGTAGCTGGAACAACAAAGCTTGGTCCCCATGAACCAGATCTGCCAATAATGATTCCTCTACAATTCTATGAAATAAAATACCCATTTATAAAAATTCCAATTGTCAATTTAAAACATTTGGTAATTCATAAGCCTTATAAACATTTACTTAACACTTTCTGTGAATCAGGCAATGTGCACAACATATTATTTCATTGATTCCTGGTGACAGTTCTATGAAGCATTATTATAAATATTTTTTTCTATTTTACTAATGCAGATATTGAAACTCAGAGAAGTTAAGTAACTTCTACTAAATGGCACAGTTAGTAAGCTGTACCAATGGGATTCAAGCTCTAGAGCTTTTAGCAACTACTTATGCATATTCACTTCAATTGAGTTATACTTTCCTGGAAAAGCAATTCCTTAGTCACCTTTTATATTCAAATAAAAAGTAATCAAGAAATAGTTATTAGTACAATGAATAAATCATTGTGAATAACCAATCATTACCTATTTTAATTATATGTATTTTGAGGATAGGTAGGTAATATGAACATATAGTCAAAATTCTAAGTATACAGAGAATGGAACCTTTCCCCCAACTTATCCCTTAATTCTCCTGCCCCACACCTCTCCACAGAGCCAGACACCAGTAGAGTCTAGAGTGTAATCTTCAAATGATATTCAATGAATATGCTAACATGTGTGTCTATGTATTCTGTTATCTTTAAGTATTTTGACTTTGATTTTGTATGTAGTGGTTTTTGGTTTTGACTGGGAAGAATCTTTTTTAATGTAGTCAAACTTTATTAATCTTTTCTGGGAGTTGTGTCATATTTAGATACATCTTCCATACTCAAATATTATGAATTATTTCCTATTTTCTTCTAGTATTTTTATGGATTCTTCTTTTATATTTCAATATTTGTTTAATCTGTAATTTATTTTGGCATAAGAAGTTAGGTATGCATGCCACTTAATTTCCCCCCCAGATAGCTTCCCAGTTGTTCTAATGCCATACTAAAGCCGTACATTTAATAATCTTTTTCTTTTAAAAAATATATATATATATCTTTATTGATTTCAGAGAGAGGGAAGAGAGGGAGAGACAGAGTTGAAATATCAATGATGAGAGAGTCATTGATCGGCCGCCTCCTGCAGGCCCCCGACTGGGGATGGAGCCCGCAGCCCGGGCATGTGCCCTGACGGAGATCTCCTGGATCCTGGGTCGATGCACAACCGCTGAGCCACGCCTGGCCAGGCAGTAATCTTTTTCTATCTTCACTGATATGTAATACCAACTACATCATACTGAACATCAAAATATATTTAGGCCGATATCTTGATAATACTTATCTATCTGCTGTGGACCAGTATCATGTTGTTTAAGATATTAAGGATTTAGAACATGCTTCCACATTTAACAGACATTCTTGTCCTCATTTGTCTTCTTATTTAGAATTTTCCAAGATGATTTTCTCTTGTTATTTGAGTTTTAGGAACAGCTAATCTAATTCTTTAAAAAAGGAAAAAAATAAGAAAAAAATTTTTTTAAGTAGTTTCATTGGAATATTAATTCAGTTCTAAACTATGGAAATCACTGACATTTTTTATTGATTCTTTTTATTTAGAAATAGAACATGATTTTTATTTTCCAATTCTTATTTTATAATCCTAAAGTATTGTTGGAATTTTTTTTTTTTTT